CCTTCACCGTTCCAAATGATGAATTCGTTTGAAGTCTTCCCCAGCCTCATCTTTTCAATGTGTGTGTGTCTCTCTCTCTTTTCTCCCTTCTTCTTAGCCAGGCTTATTTCAAACTGGTAAATATCTAATTCCTTTAACTGCCTCTCCGTGCACACGAATCTTTTAGGTACAGACACCTTGAAATGGCCGCTGCGCTGCGGGTGAGTGCCCGGAGGTGAACACAGAACCCGCGAGTCCTCGCAGCAGGGGACCCCACTTGAGTCCTCGCAGCAGGGGACCCCACTTGCTAGACTCCAGCAACTTCTGAAAGCCCTGCTTCTTTTCCTACCCCCCCCCCCCCCGCGCCCCGTTCGGGCTTCTGAATCCCTGCAGCATCCCCACTATCCCGGAGGCATCCCCAGCAACCAGGCCCAGACGCTGGTTGCAGCCCTGCGAGATTCGCGCTCTCGGCACTCGGCGGTTCTCTTGTTTATAAAGTTTGTTTTCTGAATGTCTTCTGTTAGATTGGCTCCTCCATCACCCCTCCCCAACCTTATCTTCTTCTGTCTTTTCTCTCCTGGCCCGTCACACTAGATTTAGGTACCCGTTTATCTGGAGCGCAGACTTTATTTACCGCGGGATGCGGGGCTGCGAGCGTGCGAGCGCGTGTTCGCCTTTGTAACAGTTATCGCCGCATTGTAGTGGTTTAGTCTCAGCCCCCTCCTTCCTACTCTTGTCTTGGGTTCAGGGGGATGGGGGGGGGCTTGTCAGCTCAATGTGGGCTCATCCCCTCGCTAGCATCCCCCCTTCCCTCGTCCCATCCCCCACTGGACCGTGGGGCCTTCAGGGCCCCCTCCACGCTTGCTCTGTTCCCTCCACATCCGTAGCGGAGCGCTGCCTAAAGCCGAGGAATTGCCTGACACCCCCTATCTTCCTCGGAGCCCCCATTATGCGAAGCTGATCCTCCTCTGAACAGACTCAAATCCCGCCTGGACTGTGTTTGATTAGATTGCCAACCCGGGGTAATCCTTTGATTTGGTGGAGTGTCAATTACCTTTCTCTAAACACACATTTACAGAGGAGGGAAGTTGTAGGTTTAAATCAATGCAGATCGCCTCCTGATAAATGGGCCGACTAGGTCCCCTCTCCGCCCAGTCCTCTTCTCCAAGGCCCCTCCCAACCCCATTCTCACCTATCCCCCCCCCAAAAAAAACAGCGACCTTTCCAGGTGTGAAGTCTCAAAAAGAAAAAAAAAGAAAGGAAAGAAAAGAAAAAGTGTGGGTTGTGAGGAGCCCTAACTCCCCCCCCCCCTTCCCCTATTCATTCGCTCCCCCGGAGCCTAATTAAATTTGGCAGGTCCTTGTACACACAATCAAAACAGCTTCCTCCGGTGCGGCAAACGACCGAAAACCGCATTAGCAGCCATCGCCGCTGCCAAATTAAATTGTTTCCCACCTCCTTTTACAAGTGTCTAAACCCGAGACTTCAGGCTCTCCCCTCCTCTCCATCCTTCCCGTCATATCCCACTCCACACCTGTAAGTTTGCCTTTCTTCAAATAAATTAAGGGGAAAATGCAAAGAAAACAAATCTAAGGCCTGAGCTATAGCTCAGTGGGAGAGCGTGCTTGCCTGGCATGTGCAAGACTCCGGTTCAATCCTCTCTATGGAAAAATTAAGTCCTAGTCCCCAACCTCCTCCCAAGCCTTCGATGGCCTTTCACATTCCAGTACTCTTCTCCCATTGGACCCTGACACTCACAGGTATTCCTGGCCACATAGGAAAACAACTTCTCATCCCCCGGTAACTTTTGAGTGTTTCATGTTAATTATAACCCCACTGGGCCTTGTACCCTAGAGAGCAATCCTATGTCTGATGTGCTCATCTGTGGCTTCAACTTAAATACTGTCAAATGCCTGCAGCTTTGGCTGCAGGTGGTGTAGCTGTTGTTACTTTACTGTGTATTTCTTTCTCCTCCTCGCCTCTCTCATCGACTACAGAACTCAACCATTCTTTGCACACCCTTATCCGTTTCTTGGGGGAAATCTTTTTCTTTCTCTACCTTCTTTGCTCAGATCCCTAGTAGGCTGGCTCTTGGAGCTACCACCCCCTGATTCTTGGGGAAAGGGATGGAGAGGAGAGGGTCTAACCTATCAAGGGTGCAAACTGTCCCCTTCCTTCCCCAGGTAAGCTGAGCGAGACTGCAGCCCCTATCGGCAGCAGTCCTGAGACTTCTCACAAGCAACAATCCTAATAACTCAGTCTTAACTAGGATAAGAGGGAGAGAGGGGGGAAAAAGCCCACAGTCTCATGAATATCAGCCCAAGGGAAGCAGGAGTAAGCCGTTCAGAGATGAAAGTGCGGAGAAATAAAAGCTCAATTTAATCTGCTTTAAAACCCTTCAACTTAACGTTTGTGCTTCAAACTCTGAGAGTGAAGACTGATTGCGGATAAATAGTTTCTTACCATGCCTGGAAGCTATTACACCCCTCTCCAACACAGCTTCCTATTCAGCAGCCTCAGTTTTCATTACCAGCTCTAATAAGTCTTAACGTTATTAAATGCCAAGCGGACGATAGGAAGAAACGGACTCAGGGAGGGATCTCTCTTTAGCGCTTAAAGAGGAGCTCTCTTAAACCCCTCTTTGGTGGCTCCCCGCCACGAGAGGGGCGACCCTGGGAGAAAGCATTTGTCAAAAAGCAAGAAGCCAAAACAAAGTTGTGAGTGTGTGTACCCCTCCCCCTGCTCTGCCCATGGGAGGGGGGTGCCTGGGCATCTGGGCCCTCTCTGAACTCCTACAACCTGAGCGCAAGCTGGAGTGGTTTTAAGTCAGCAGCGAAACTGATGTTTAGGGTCTAAGACACAGATGAGCAGTCCCACATGCCTGCCAGTCAACAGGCCAGAGTTCACACTGGACACCAAATCTGTCCAGAATGAAAACTGCCTCTCATTTGAACCACCACTGCCGATCCAAGGTCGCCTATGATCAAGCTGCAGACTCTTGCCGGCTAAGACTCGAGGCATTCCTGACCCGATCCAAAGGCGCATAGGTAGGCATACAGCCACCTACAGAACGCAAGCACTGCCATAGCCATCCAGTGTCACTGAGCTCCATTCATACCCCCAGAGCAACTCAAACCCTGGGCATCTGTCAGGACACCAGCCCCCCCCCCCCAAGACAGTTCACTCTTACAGCGTACACATTCAACACTTGTATTCTCAGCTGTGGAAGGAACAGGTCTCTTTTCTAAACCGCAGGAGACAGGAAGCATCCTGGGTCTCTGGCAGGGAAACCCTCTCTCCACCGAAGCCTCTGGTTCACTGTTTTGTTTTGTTGTTGTTTTTGTGAAGCCCATGAATTCTCTAAGTCCCAGGGATTCCCCCAAGACAGCCCTTTTCTTCCTCTTCCCTTTCTCCAAGGCCACTGACTTCTTGCATTTCATCACACACGGAACTAGACACATCCCTCTTCATGCACACATGCAAGATAACTTCAAACAAATTGAAATATCCCAACCAATTCTGGACGTAACTCCTAGAGGTATTTGGTGTATAGCATGCCCCTTGGCAAGATTATTCAGATTCAAAGGCCACCAGAAGTACAACTGACTTTTGAAAAGAAGGGGGAAAAAAGTTCCATTTGTCTTCCTGATAAACAGATAAACCCTGGGTCCCCAAGAAGGAGTCCCTGGGCTCTGGCAAAATGGCCAAGCTATTTGCAGAGGCTGCCTCCCGAAGCAGACCCAAGGCCCCTGGCAGGCCGGGCACAGCAGGGCACCACACATTGCTTTCTGCCTTTCTTTCCTGGCCCCTTTGTCCCTGGAGGGACAGCAGCTCCTCCAGGGGCCCGGAGAGTGTCAGCAGCCTGTCCTTCCCTTGCAAGAACTGCCCTAAGAAGGGGGACGCCTCCTTCCGATCCTACCCCCTTGGACTGAGCTGGCAGGACTGGGCCTCCGTCTCTGGGAGTTGTCTTTAGAAGTGGGCTTTTGTTTGTGAAGTTCATCTTCAAGCTTGGGGGGGGGGCACTCCTGAGAACCAGAGAGACCTAGACCTAGACTGCAGAAACCTCTGGAAGAATTCTTGTACAACAAGGGTTCCTTAGTAAAGGTTCTCCATTTGGCTTTCGGGTTCATTCTGCCTCCCTGGCATGTGTGTTTCAGGAG